TTCAGGATTGGGGAATGCCAATAAAAAGGTGCGCTTTATCCGCATGGTATTCTGTTCGCAGTACGCTGTACGCTGTACACCCATATCATTTACCATTTCATAATCCCGCTTAAGCACACTTCACCTTCAGCCCTCGAGGAAGATCGTTTTGGTGTTTTTCTCTGCGGGTTTTGGCAACCTCATTAGGGGAACTACACCCCCGCACTACGCCCCCACCCCTCCCCCCCCATGGCTATGTGTGTGAGCTCCTCTATCGGGCCGTGTCTTTGTTGTTTGCCTGTGCTGCAAGGCTGCCCCTCGACTCGGGGTCCCTCTCTGCTTGTACTCTGCGTACTGTCCCTGGCGAAAATCCTCCAAATGGCGCATTGTGTGGCTTATCTCTGTGCTCGGAGAAGTGCTTACATTTGTGGCACCACCGCCAACAAGCAGCGAGCGGAGGAAGACGTTGGATGTTATTTAAATAAATCGTTGCATACTTTGCGGCGCCGCCACCGTGTGCCCTCCGTCCATAGGGGGGAGTGAGTGCCACTATGCGAGTGTGTGGCAGAGCCAGCGCAAGACTTTAAATCTCATTTGAATTATTATGGAAAAATGCTCGACACTCGCGATGTTCGCTCTTTGTCAGCATTCTGTTGCATACTTTATGGCGTTTTAAGTGCTGCAAATGCTATGGCCTGTCAGGCGTACCGCCACCATGCCACCATGCCACTGTGCAACACTCTACGCCGCATTACGAGCACATACAGACCATGCTCCTACCCTGCTCCTGACCCACTTTTCCAGCGGAGCGCGAGCGAGTAATTAAACATGCAACCGCCAACAAGCCAAAGGCCGAACCTGTCATACGTGCAACATGAGAGGCATCACACGGTCTCTCATCGGTAAGCCGAGCAGAGCGGCGAAAAAACGCTAATTTCCACCGGGGGAATGCACGCCGGAATGTCGAGGACTGCCATTGAAACCCAAGCCCCTAGGCCCTACGGGAAACCATGCTCCGGGGCGCCGGGACTCCGCTGCGATGCACTCGCCGGATGGTTAATCAAAATGATATGCCTGTGGAATTATTAAAAAATATTTCAAGTGTCGCCACAGGAAGAGAGAGAGAGAGAGGCAGAGAGAGTGAAAGTGAAACGTGCAAAGCCGCGGCGGATCAGAAGGTCCTTTTTGTTTTTGTGTAATTTCAGTACATGAAAATCCCTTAATTTCCATTGAAAATACCCCATAATTTTGCGCCGCCATAAATTATAAAATTCCGCTTCGACTCTCATTGATTTCCACACGCCATTAGCTGCTCGTACATTTCGGTGGCGGTGGCAACGGCAATGGCAACGGCAACGGCAACGGCGACGCCTCGGCGAGATCTGAGGCAACTAACCGACAACTTTAAACTGCCAGCCACCGCAGCTGCCTCGGTGGCCGCCCCTGCCACACCGTGCCACAAGCAAGTCAGGACGCCACTTGATCATTAACAGAGCGAACCGCGAGCAGCCACGGTGGGAGCAAGGCATCCTCCTACCGAGATGCCGGGATACCGGGATACCGGGATGCCGGGATGCCTGGATGCCAGTGGAGGAGCTGCGCTATTTAACAGCTTCGAGCAATTGCAAACGTAAATCAAATGCCACATTCTGCAGTGGCAGTGGCAGTGGCAGTGGCAGTGGCAGAGGCAGTGGTAGTGGCAGCGGCAGTGGCAGTCGTGCACTCCTACTCCATCCCCGTTTATTTTATTTGCAATTTTTAACAACTTGAAAGTGGTGCGGGGAAGCGGCAGGCAGCCAGCGAGGCATAGGAACATCCTGAAGATGGACGCACGGAGCAGGGATTCTGTCACGAGATCCCGCTGCCAAGAGCTTGTGTGGCGCCACCGTGAGTCACGCTCGCATCGCTGTGCGGCTCCGTGTAGTGGCAAGACTTGGCGCAGGAGGAAGTCGGTGCTGCCTGCCAACTGTTGGGTGCTGTTGCACACACACACAATTTTGATTTATTATTTTGATTCCTGTTACTTTAGTACCTGCCAGGATGCAGCAGGATCCAGCAGGATCCAGCAGGACCTGGCCCCAGAATCCTCCATCAGCCATGCTCCGCGTTGTCGAAGCATTTCTTTATTTTTATTCACACGGTTTTCTGGTTTTATTGCTCCAATTACTTCATGTACTACTCGCCTACCTACTCTGCCGCACAGCAGACCGCTCCCCCCTCCAACCCGCCCCCCATCTGCCATTTGCCACAGTATGTGGCACTCGAGTAGATTTAATATTTCTCCTACCGCTTCCCACACTCGGTCTCTTGACTGCTTTCATTTATCGTATTCGGTTCGCAGGCTTTTCGCTGATTTCTCCCCCTCGATATATTGGCTGATCAAGAGGTGGAGGCTTAATTTTTTCATTTGAGGATCAATAAACCAACCCGCCACCCGCCACCCGCCACCCACTACCCACTCCCCAACCATTCACACGCCTCGTGTATCCTGCCCGCAATACTTGAGCGCCCTGCCGTGCATGAAACTATTGCCAACCACTTGACGGCGGCTCCTGCTCCGGCTCCGGCTCCGGCTCCCAGGGCCCCTGGGCCAACAACTTGATACCAATTAAGCACTCACAATCACATGCTGCCAGGCAGAAGCCCTTCCCCCAACGCACAGATATTTTATGCAGAGTTTTTCCCATGCCCCGGCACAGCCCCCTCGACACCTGTTTCCAGGATGCGGAATGCAGAATGCAGAATGCAAAACGCTTAACTGCACATAAAATATACAAAACTAACTTAGTTCGCGCATATCGCCGGGCATAACTCATGAGTACCTTGGTGTGCCCACCGTGTGCCCCCCTGTGCCCCGGTGTGCACCACTATGCCCCATGCGGCACTTGCCATTCGGGGTGGGGGCTGACTGCACAAAAACAAAACGAGTGACAATAAAAAGAGCCAAGAGTAGCACAACGGCAGCACAAACCAATGCCTAACGAGCTGGCAGCCCTGGAGGTGCTGGCCAGGTGCCACGGCATCTACTCTTTCTCTTGCGAGGAACGGCATCGCATCCAAGTGGCGAGAGAGGAGACCAGATCTCCGGAGAGCAGATCTCGGGTGGAATTTGACTTCGATTGAGGAGTGGATGTATCGCTGATCGGCCGCTTGTGAGGGAGTACATTTTTAGAGCATCTAGGCATTACCATATCAAAGTTATCTGTTTCCGTGGCAGAGCCACACTCTGGTTCGTCGTCGCCGTCGCACCACTCTCCATTCCGCTAATGGCAACTGCTGAGTGGATGCAACAAAGCGTGTGCGCTCAACGGGGAATACGGTGAGAGTGCGGGTGGTTGCAGCTGCGGCGGGTTATGTATAAATTCATAAAGCGAGCCACAGCAACGAGAGCAGAAACGGCAACAGCAACGGCAACGGCAACGGCGACTGCGGCAACATGTTGTAATTGCGTATTTTATAGATACTCGTATGCGCGGCCCTTTCAGGAGCAACGGCAGGGAGAGGGGCAAGTGGCAAGTGGCAAGCGGCAAGCGGCAAAGGGTTGAGGGTGGGGCTGGGGCTGGGGCTGGGGCTGGGGCCGGGGGGATGGTGGAGGGGCAGTTGCTGTAGCTGTATCTGCCATTCGGTCTGTTTGCTTTTGTTTGGTGCGGAAATGGCAGCCGGTGTGCAGCGAAATATGGCAGCAACAGCAACAGCAAAAACGACATCACGCATACGCCATGTTGCGCCATTTGAAGTTGTTGGCGTATACGTAATTTTTATTTTACAAGCAAAAGCGAACAAAAACTAAAAAACGGAAAGAGAAAGAAACGGCGAGCGAGCGAGAGAGAGAGAGAGAGAGAGAAGAGGGTGGGCAAAGAGAAAAACATTCAGTGCTGAAAAATGCATTCAGAGCCACAGCAATAACAAAAATGGCACACAGAAGAGCACAGAGAAATTTTAATTGCTCAAAAAGCGTCGACAAGGGACACGCGACAGCGACAGCAACAGCAACAGCAACAGCGACGAGAGGGGTGCGGTGGGGTGGGGTGCTGTGGGGGTGGCGCAGGGCAAACTTAATTTACGTCCGTTATGGGGAGCGTTCCCTTTTATGAATTTTAATTCAATCAAAGTTTACTCAAATTAAAGCAAAAAGACTCAGTCCTCATTCAGTTTTTCATTTCGATGCTAAAACGAATCAAATCTGTTTGCTTTGACAGATTTGGTTTTCAAGTTAAACATCAAAGATGGATGGCGTCCGGGGGGTACGAGTGTGCTCGGTAAAAGGCAAGAGAGCTGGCAGATTTGACTCCCAGATATGGCCGCATTCCATGTATCCATTCCATTCGAGTCGGTCGTATATCGCAGATACTGTTTGGCCTCTCAAGCTGCCTAAAAGTCATTTCCTAGTTTGCTTTCTATGCCCGAGTGCGGCTCTTTTGGGGCTGGCCTCCTTTATGGCCCGTACAGAGCAGGGCGTCCTTGCTGGCACATTTAGCGCACACTTGTGCCCGTTTCCACGAGTACATTTTATTTCCAGCAGCGCATTTGTGTGCTCTGAAAAGTGAAAGGCTGCTTCAACCAAATAAAAACACGATGCCACAAAAAGTCGCACGCAAATGCGCACTTTGCTTTGTGTGTGTCCTTTCTGGGTCCCGCCCGAGCTGTAGTGTGCATTATCAGCCATGCGTGAAAATCAGGACATGAGCGTGAGAGGAGCGGCAGTTGGGCAGGGGAAGGGGAAGGGGGGGGTCTTTGTTCGCGCTTAGCCTTCTCCAACTAATGATGACAATCCAGAGCCCTGTTCGAGCTGTTGGCCAGGTATCCTCCATATCCAGCGTATACTTTAGAGAACGATAACCATCACCAGTGCTGCGAGGAGCACACAATGTGCATCGGCATTTGAGTGTGAATGTTTCGATAAGCACTCAGAGTTTGCTGTCAATTGGATTCAATCTGAGCTGCCACTCAAACGTGGAATAGATGCTTAGTAAATATTTTAAAATTTGCGTGAAAGTATAAGTTTAGTTAGAGGTCCCAGAATGCTGCAATCGTGTGTTTTCGCCGTCTTCCTGGCGATCCTGGCCCTGTTCGGGCGTGCTTCGGTGGCCATTGAGGCCATTCCCCACGACAAGAGCTGCCGCCCGTTTCAGGACAGACCCCTGAAGCTGCTCTGCAAGGGGACCTACACCAACGATATCTTCCTGAGGTACCAGGACAGACTGGCCGCCATAAATGGCCCATACAAGATATTTTACCACAGGCAAGGAGGAGCCGTGCTCCTGCTGGTTACCTTCAACCACTCCCCGCTGCAGTGGTGCAACAGCTCGATTTCGATCGACGCGGATCTGGACTTCTTCTGCGGCGACAGCCGTAGCCCTCTCCCGTTGTCCGGCTCGATGATCTACTGCCGCATATACCAGATGAGCTACATAGCCGATCTGATGTACGAGTGCACCACCCCGAAAATCCGCAACTTTCCCCTTGAGAACGGTTTCACGGCGGTGCACTACGCGGCGATATCCCGCTGGAGCGGGTCGCGGGACGAGCTCGAGTACGGAGTGGACCTGCCCTCGGGCCAGGGGGGCCTTACCTTTCTTGCGCCTCTGCTGCTCTGGCCGACACTTGCCACACTCTCGAATTGATTTGCCTGTCAGACACACACACACTCGTAATCGCATAAAGTTCGAAATTTAAGTTGGTTCAAAATGCCTTTTTGCTCCGTGTTCTTACTTGTTCATATGGCCAAGAAACCGGACAAGACTGGTGGTGGACGACACCAAGGCCTGCTCACGGGCAGACCCATGCCGATGGACCGCTCGGGGCAACGCTCCCTGCCGCCTCTCTCGAATGGGAGAAATTTCCAAGAGCTGTGCCGCCACCTCATCAGACGGTTGCCCAAGTGAAGACTTGACCTATTTCAGGCCAATACATTTGTGTATCTGCTACCGATATATATGTATATATAAATCCGTAGCTTTATCTAAAGAATACATGTTGGGGAAAACTGCAGATAATTTGTGAAATCCCTTTAATATTTTCCATTTAAAGCCTTTCCCTGTCTCCGTCCCTGTCTCTATCTCTGAGCTGCCGTCATTTTGGGTTTCTGGCCAGCACTTGACAGCAGTCAATGTTCGACGTTGAATGTTGTGGGATGACCACAGGCCAATATGGCGGCTGGGCAGTCCATATGAGAACATAAATTACGCCAACGCCAATGACAATGATGACAATGAAATGCTACGCCATTCTTCCCCTATCCCCCGTCCCCCGTCCCCCGGCCACCGTCCCCCGTCCCATCCGCCCATTCTCAGAATGTGCCTGGCAGTAGATTTAGATGTGCTTTTGCTTGTGCGTGTGCCTGTCCGTGTACGTGTGCTTGTCCTTGTCCGTGTGTGTGTGTGTGTGTGTGTGGCTGTCCAGAACTGCATTTGTCCGCCATTGTTGGCATGTCTAAAGTTGCAGGCCAAACTACAATGAACTCTGGCAAGCTGCTAGTTGGAGTGGGAGAGCCAACATTTTGTTTATCCAAACATAATAAGCAGCGTCAGGATAATGCCTGCAATCAGAGCCCGCAATCAGAGCCTTCAGAGCCTTCAGAGCGTTCAGAGAGCCCGCAGAGAGGGGGACGGGGACGGGGACGGGGACGGGGACAAACACACAAGCGACTATCATTTGGATCGTGTAGATTTGATTTAATAATTCGTCTAAAAGTACCAAAATGGAGAGGTCCAGCAACCCAACGCCGAAAAAAGCACAAGGACAGCAGAGGCCTTCAGATCTGGACCCGATTCGATGATCTTGATAATGTTGTTCTTCATATAGATGATGGCAACGGCAATGGGCTCCGTGTCCGACGGGTATTCTTCCTTCATGCAGCTCTCGTACAGCATTTCGGCGTAGTCGAAGGGGAAGGCGAGGCAGTGCACCTCCGCGGACGTATGCAGTTTCATGACGTAGTTCTGGCCGTCACAGTAGAACTTGCCGCCGTCCATCACGAGGGTGAAGCAGCTGGATATGGGCGAGTTGTAGAAGGCGACCAGCAAGTAGACGGGACTAATGGTGTCCGAACGCTGCCAGATGGTGTAGGGGGCGTCCATGGACGGGATGCGGTCCTTGTACATCAGACGCATTTGTCTGTCGAATCTGCCCTGGCAGAGGTATTGCAGGACGTATCCGTCGATGAAGGTGCAGTTGTCGTTGGCGGATTGGACGGGTATCGGCCTCCCGAGCAGCAGCAGCAGCAGGAGCAGCAGGAGCAGCTGCAGCACCAGCAGAAGGTGCAGCCGCGAGCAATCTATCCTCTTTACATACAATCTTTGTGCGCATTGTGAGCCCACTGGCATTGCCTATTGGCACAATGATGCGATGATCATTTTTTGAGAATTTTTTCTGACACTAGAAACACGAAAAGCAAAGTAAGTGACTCCGAATATGCCCAGCTCCAGCTCCAGCTCCAGGTCCAGCTCTGGCTACAGCTCCGGCTTCAGGCACTCCACAAGGCCCACTTGAGACGTCCAGCCCCCGACGATGAGATCCGACCAGCGTCCCGATACCACACACCATAGTGAATGGCCACGAAGTCGACTCTGAGGGGCTTCATGCCACACTCGCTTTGCAGTTCGCCCACGTACGAGAAGTTGAAATTGTAGCAGAAGATGCTATCGGGCCTGATGGCAATGCCAATGCCGTACGAGTGCTGGCAGTGGCAGTGCAGCCAGTTGGCGCTGCACCTCACGCTGCCACAGTCCCACAGAGGCGACTTGTGGAGAGTGATCAGCAGCTCGATGTGTCTGCGCGGATCCCCCCGGACCCACACGCGGTAGGGCGTGTCGGTGCGGATCCTCCTGTCGCGATAGTGCAGCTTCAGGCTCCTGCTGTACTTGGCCTCGCAGGAGAGCCGGAAGGGTGTGTTCTCGTACTCGAGCAGGGACTCGCACTGGGCTTGGCCGGCGTTCGACTGCCGCACAATGCACGCAATGAAGCACGAAGAGCAGATGCAGCAGAAGATGTCCCATGACATGTCTGTGGACATCCGTGCTGGCGTGCTGGCACGGATGTGGATGTGGTCGAAGGATACAAAAATAATCGAACAAGTTGACTGAAAAATCGCTGCACACGCGTCGGGAGCAGATAGATGGCTTTAATCATAGCACCATATACACCAGCCAACAAATTTAGAGGTTATCCGAGAGCAGAAGTATTACCAATAGCACGATCATCAGCCCCGTGGGACGGGCCCGTCCTTTTGACAGCAGAGCTTGCCTTTTGAAACTGTCATGGGCGTAGTGTAGGACCGGGTGCGCTGTAATCTCGTTTGGATCGTACTTGCCTCCCTTGCAACTGCTCTGCAGATCGCTGAGGTAGCGGAGTCCGTACTTGAAGCAGTGCACAGTCCCGTAGGGGAAGATCAGGGCTACGGTCTTCTGGTTCTTGTCCGTCGCCAGAAACACGCCCAGAGTCGACATTTTGATGCGCCTATAGCGGAACATGTCCGACTGGTAGAACGACACCATGAAAACCTTACCGTCGGACCAAATGCCAAAGGGCGTACCCTCGGGCGCTCGAAAGTCCCGCCAGCGCACAAAGGTATCGTATCCTACATAGCCAGTGCAAATGAGCTCCAAGTGGTTGGCGGATGCGTACTGGCAGTTTCCAGTGTTGCGTATGTTGTGGGCGGGACTGTCCGCCCTTGCCGCCGGACACACGCTGAGCGCCGCAAATAGCAGTCCAATGGGCATCAGCGACTGGAGCAGCATCGTCCAGGGAAACTGAATTTAAACGTTTAAAGTTCTGCCAACTCTATCTGACAGTATCTTCAAGGGCTGCCCTATCGATCGGCAGAGCAAGAGATTGGGTGGGGTGGGGTGAGGTGAGGTCCTGCCAGGGAGACCCAGGGCGGGCCCTCGACAAAGTTTTCGTTTTCATCAACATTCATACAAATGCGCAAATCAATATTCAACAAATAAACCAAACGAGTGAATGAGTTTTTCCTTTACTCTTACCCGTACTCGTACTCGTACTCTTGCTCTTGCTCTTGCTGTTATTCAGGACCTGCCAGGGGGAACTTTCGGAGCAAGTTTGGAGAAACTTTTGCTAGCCAGAGAAGAGACGACGACGACGACGACGACGACGGAAAACTTGTTTCAAATTAATCAAAGTAATTAAAAATTCTTGCAAGGTTTTCCAATGAATTTCATTTTCCGAGCACATACGCACAAAGAAAAGCTTCCCCCCCCCACCAGTGGCTGAGAGAGAGAGGGGGAGAGGGGGGCGGGCATTTGAAGCATTTAATCTCTTTCAAATGCAATGTAACATATACGCCAGAGAAGGGCGCCAGAGAAGGGCGCCAGAGAGGGGAGCCAGCCCCCAGGGGGCGGCTGGACCTCGACTTTGATTACATTCACGTGCCAATGGACGTGCGAAGACAAATGGAATAAGCCGGGCTAATGAATAAAACTGATAACTCGAAAAGTTTCCGTGTCTTTCGTTAACCCATCAATTTGAAATTTTTAATCAATCTGAATCCTTTACAGCAGTGCTAGAGGAGATGTGCCACACTCGGGGGAATGGGAATGATCTGCTGTGAGTACGTGGCTTCCCCGCGGTCCTTCAGCTGCCGTCCTTCCGTCTGCTGCCGCGCGAAGAGCCCGCCGAGGCTCCAGTTGGTTGTGTGATCCGTGGGGTTCTGGTGGCCTGGATATCCCTCGATAAGAAGTAATGATAACAGAGAATTTTGCACAAATACCGCGTAATTATGATCAATTATGATCAACCGAAAGACTGCTCAGTAATGGCGGAGGCTTTTGTCTATCGCATCAGTCCCATTCGATGAAGGACCACACTCGGATGAGCAGGATCGTTGGCAGGAGCAGGCGCCAGTCGCCAAGGACACGGAAAGCAGTATCTGAGTCTTGCCGCTCCGGACCCTCCATGGTGTAGTGGAGGACTGGCCTGGGGCAAGTGTCTTCCGCGTCGAACTTCCTTTTCTTGCAATGGGCCATTAGGTGGGAAACGTACTTCATCGGGGAGCTCATGCAGTGCAGGTCCGAGTGCTTCAGGCTTTCATCGATTTTGTAATTAATGATCTCCATGTACTTGCGGTTCAACAGTTTCGAGGAGTGGAAGGAGGCAAGGATCATGTCCGTGGCATTCGGCACAACCCACAGGCTGTATGGAGTGCCCGACGGAGCTCTTACGTCGGAATACGTCGCGGCAATCCTCTTCGAGACAGTCGACTTGCAGACGCGCATCAATCGGATTTTATAGATGAAATCGCAGTCTCCCTCGTTGTAGTTCGGGACGTGGAGCCCATTATATGCCCCTGCAAGGAGCAGTAGCAGCAGCAGTATTTTTAAAAGCATCTGAAAATTTTGGATAGTTTCAATGAATTTATCTGAATGACTGTTCGGTCATGGGGGTCCTAATCCTAGTCCCCACGCTCACCAAGCTCACCAAGCTTCCCACCTCCCCACCCAAAACGGGGACTCTCTGCCGATTCAATCAATCTCAAGTCCATCTCAGCAAAGGCCTCAACTGCAGCAAGTACGTGCCACGAGTGAGCCTCAATCGAGGACGAAGTCGGGCGAAAGTTGAAAAGAAAATTCCACGTTAAATTGATTTACATACTTGCAGACGGAGGAGGAGCAGCGGGTGGGGGGTGGGGGGCGGCAGCGGGGCCAGAAGTGGGGGCGGGAGCGGGGGGCGGCAGACCAGAACCCAGAGCCAAGCCCAGGCACATCGCAGTGCAGCAATAAAGCACAAGGAGGCGGACAAATAAAATAAAAGATGAAGGACGTATGCGAACGAATTTACTTTCAATTTCGCTTCAATGACAATTCCTCTGATTTAACTCCTTTTTATGAGATTTCCAAGGCACGGGCAGACCTCTTGCCCAGGACCTCTGGCTGCGGGTCTGATGCTGATGCTGATGCCGATGCTGGGGCCCTGGCCATGGCCCTTGGTCCTTCTGCTTTCTCTGCTTTCTGTGCTTTTATTATGTTACAATAATAAATTGTATTAAGTGTATTTGCGCAGTGAAGCGGTCCGAGATTCAGTACATGGCGTGAGGAGTGCCAGGATCCAGCATCCAGGACGCAGGAAGCAGGAAGCAGCAAGCAGGACGCAGGACGCAGGTGTATTGACTGGAATACTCGTGTATGAAAGCCAGGGAAAAGAAAAGAAAGGAACCGAATTAAGTCGACGGAATGCCAAAGCAGGCGGTGATTGAAACCCCTTCTGGCGCACATTGAAAGCCAAAATTACAATTCCATCTCGGAGGTCCTGTCTCCCCTTTTCCTGTGTATAGCTCAATGCTGGCAATGCTCAAACTTGCCGCTGGCAACGCCCCTCCCCCAAAACACACACACACAAACACACACCATTATCAATCGATGGGGCCTTTCATTGTAATTTTAATATGTGTCACATGATTTACAGCTGACGATGCCCCTGGCACTGTCACTCTCCCCCTCTCCCGCAGGTGGTGACGGCTTTGGCTTTGGCTTTGGCTTTCAACTGCCTGCCGAATGCCGCCTGCCTGCCTGATCCTGACACATTGGCAATGCATTGAAAAGGCGACAAACGCAGCTTGCAAATGATGTGCCCGCTGACGGAGCATTGTCAGAGCCGCAGAGCACCAGCTGCGCACCACATAGAGGCGTCTCCCGCTGCCGCTCCCCAACGCTCCCCAACGCTCCCTCTCCCCGCCAACCCCCCACCAAGCCAATCAAGACGTGTGCCAAAGTTAAGCGCAAATACAAGCAGGGACAAAAAACGCCAATTACTAGCAGAATCAATTAGACAAAAAGCAACGAACGGAACAAATTGGAACGTACTCGTGCGATGGGGATGGCGATGGCGATGGCGATGGAGATCGACAAATAAAACTTATGGCGAACAAAGGACACGTCCCATAAACGAAAGAAACGGGTCCAGGGACACGGACACGGACACGGACGGAGACAGGGACAGGAAGAGGAAGAGGAACAGGGAGCGAGCACACGTTGAACAAATATGAAAAGATGACACAAACAACCAGCTCCAACCAGACCTGCAGATGACGAGCGACTGAGGAGTGGAGCGAATCAGAATCAGGACTCCGGACTCCGGACACGGGACTCGAAACACCGGACTCCTGACAAACTAAAGCCAAGCCCCGAAGAACCGAAGATGGAAGACAAGTGCTGTAGGAAATAATTCCATTAGCAAAATAAATAAACAAAGGCGAAATGAATGATTGAGCAGTGCCGGGAGAATTAAATGGAGACTTCAAGTCCTTCAGTCGTTCTCCAGTTCTCCTTCGGCCTCGTGTCCTCTGTCACGGCCAGCGTTGGAGCCCGTGGAGCTCGCACAAAGGTTAGCGGGGCTCCTGGCAGATGAAGGCGTCGCGTGCATAAACCAAATGCAAACACATACACAAGCTCTGAGGTCTCCGAAGATGTCACTCGACAGCGGCTGAAGGGCCCACGGGCGTACGGGCACACGGGCTGGCCGAATACATATTACATGAGCCCACACCCGCCCGCCGCCATCGAGCGCGTACACATATTGACCCATTTCGATGCCAGCAGACAGACAATCCCCACCGCACACGGCCACTCCCACTCCCACTCGCACTCCCACTGCCGCCGCACAGATAGAGATGGAGGACAGGTGTCCAGAGGAGACTAGACCTCAGATTCAGCATCAGCATCAGCATCAGAGTAGTTTCGGTTAATAAAGTCAAATGCCACCAAAATCAAAAGGAAAATGCCACTTACGCCTAATGGCATCAGGGCATCAGGTGGTGGCCGTGGACTCCTCCTCTGGCCTCCTGCCAGCAACAACCGCAGCATCAACAAGAGCCTCGGGACCCCCTGCCCCTCCACCTCCACCCTCCCCCCTGTAGCCTCAGGCAGCACTCAAGCAACGTCAACGAGGACGTGGCCTGGCACGGGGACGGGGACGGGGACGGCGAGCAGGACTATAGTTTGGGAAAATTGGTGGATTTTTAATTGTATTAGCATGCCTCAGTCGAGCATCTACGACGGGGCCATCTCGATGGGCTGACGCTGAGGCTGTGGCTGGGCCTGAGACTGGAGCTGGGCCTGTTGGTGGAGCCTGGCAGTAGTCTGTGCCGTCTGTGTCGGTGTGCACTTAAGTGCGTGCGGATGCGGAGGCCTCCAAATATTTGATATTGCCTTATTTGATATTGCTCGCAGTTTGAGTGCCGCGTCGCTTTCGGATGCTGTTAAAGGTTCGGCGGCATGCAAATAGTTCAGGCTCTGCTGAATGAGGGCTTTTCCGCATAAATAATACAATAATGGGTACAAATGGACTCTCAGGAGAGTTCGATTCCGGTTGGGTCTACAATTAACTTCTGGCTTGAGCTGTTCCGACTTCTCAAGGAATGGAGAGCCCAGCCGACGATTGAAACTAACTGAAGCCAAGGAGACATGGAAATTAAGGTCTGGGGCACCCAGAGCGAACATAGGACTTGGGACAGAGTGCAGACTCTGGACCACACAACCGGATACTAGTGCTGCCCCAATAAACAGTCCCGAAGGACATGTGGGCTGTGGGGAGAAAGAGAAACTCATATCTAATGAGTGGCGCTGGGCAGAGATCTTTCGCGGATTGTATATTCCAACGTGGAAATTAGTAAAGAACGAAGAGAATGGTCGCTGGAGTCGGAGTCGGACATGACATGGAGGGGAGACTCCTCGAGGGGACACCGACAGACTCATAATGATATATTGCATTCACCGTGAAATCTGCTTATAATTTAGTTTGTCCTTCCAATGAGACGTCACGAAGCCAGGCGCACCTTCCGCCTTCCACGTGCCACTGCCACAACAATGGAGGGAAAGCCAAGCCGGTAGTCGGTAGCGGGTAGCCTTTAGCCGGGCCAAGTGGGGGACCGATATAAACGACGGCAAATTATTCCCTGTCAGGACACTCGCTTCGCCGGAGTCGTGTGTGCGTGTGAGCGTGTGTGCGTGTGAGTGTGTGTGCGAGTGTGCGAGTGAGAGATTCCGCAGGACAGCGGATTGCGTGTCTGCCAAGTCGGCGACCGAAAATCAAAAGAAAATTGATATTGGGAAATTGCACGAAATGAGTAAATGAAGCGTGGCACAGGCGAGAGGCGAGAGGCAAGAGGCAGGCAGCAACTCTGGGGAGAAGGCCAGGCCCGTCTAATGGACTGACGTGCAGGGCGTCTGATTGCCACCTCGAGAAAAATATGTATTAAAAATTCCACGAAAACTAATCAATGTCAAATGTCCTTTGATTGTGCTCCGTCGACGTCGACGGCACGGATAGATAAGATCCAGGAGCCAGGAGCCAGGCACCAGGCGCCAGGAGCCCGACCAGGAGCCGCCAAGACCAAACTGGAACGGAGGCGATTTAAAGCAACGCCTTGGCCCCTGACTCCCCCGCATCGGGGAACCGAACGCGTGGTAAGCAGAAATTAGAAAATAATTTGCTTTTGTCGCTGGTAATTTATTGGCTGCCATAAATTGGCCCCGGGGCGTGCCCGAGGAGGGGAGTGTCCGCGGCGGGGAGACACAAACGCTAAGACGCTAAGACGCTAAGAGTTTTACGATTTCCACAAGTTATCTAGCCATTAAAGCTTTCCATTAACCCCGCTCCTGCTGCCAATCCATTTTAACATCTAATCCATTGGCCATTAAGGGGAAAACTGTTGTAATTGCAAATTTTCCGCTCAATAAGTCAAAGTGAAATGGGAATCTAAACAATGGCTGGCTGGCTGCCTGGCTGGCTGGTGGCTCATAATTCCCACAACAATAATACATCCGCATCTATCACACAGAGAGACAGCATATGTGGATGAGCAGCAGGAGCTGGAGCTGGTGCTGGTGCTGGGAA